CACCACCACCTGACACCAAAATCACAACTTCTACGAACACAGGCTCTGAAAGTAAGGATGAGGGAACTAGTCCCTTTGGTACACTCATCACCCTCACCACTGGGTAGCCCGAATGGCACATTTCTTTCTTCACCTTTTTTTCCCCTAATGTGTTTATTTATTTGTTTTGAGAGAGAGCACCTGCCCTAGCGGGGGCTGGTGGCCGAAAGAGACAGAAATAGAGAAAGAATGCCAAGCAGGCTCCAAGCTGCCAATGCAGAGTTGGACGTGGGGCTTGAACTCACGAACAATGAGATCATGACCTGAGCTGAAACCAAGAGTCGGAGGCTTAACTGACCCAGCCCCCCCAGGCACTCCTCCTTTTTCATCTTGCAAATGTTTCTTGCAACAAAAAAGTTGAATCTTTCCAACTTTATCTTTCAAGTTTAAGTTTTGCCAGACCATGCCTGATTGGTAGGGCCTAGGTCACTTATGCCTGTGCTGCAGAGGGGGTCAAGGAGGCGAGTCTTGTCACATTAAACTCCTCAGGTATTATAAGCGTGTCCAAAGGGGCTGGACAGTCAGAAAACATGTCCTGTGAACACTAAATAGCATGTTACCTCAGCAAAAGGCACTCCCCAATAACCCTAAATATGCACATACTCTCTCCAGCCCAGTCCTATTATTCTTTCCCTGTACTCTGTCATTTTCTTCAAGGCTTTTATCACAACTTGTACTGTATATTTGTTCAAATGCCTTATGAATCCTGGAGCCAGAGTCTAGTCTCCATGTGGAGTTTCACTCGAATACGTATGACTCAAGCAGCCAAAAATAATTTAAAAATGTATTTCAGTCTTTAACGTGGATCTCTTGGAAGAAAAAAACATCAAGGGGGCTCCAGTCACAATTCCCAAAGGTTCTCATAGGTTCATATTCCCTTTTCTCTCTTCTTTCACTTTCCTCCAGTCCTTGTGTGTGTTGGTTTATCATTTCTTCATAAATTTTGCCCCTAGGGCTCTGTCTTCAAATGTTTTCTGCCTGCTCTCATCTTGCATCACAAACATGCAGCACTGGTCTGTGAGATACATTTTTCTCAGAGCACAGGATGAAGAAGTGGAGAGGCAAAGTCCTTATCGGACAGAGAAGGCTGAGAGTATTTACACATTGAACATTCTGGCTCACCATTTGTGACTGACCTCCAGATTATAAATTTTATGAAGACAGGGACAAGATCTGTTCTATTTGTGCCTAATACAAAAATCTGACAAATACATAGCCAATTAATACTTGTTTTCTAGAAAAGAGAGAAGTCCAGGGGTGCCTGGGTGGCTCAGTCAGTTAAGCTTTAAGCGTCCAGCTCTTGATTTCGGCTCAGGTCATGATCTCACAGTTCATGAGATCGAGCCCCGTGTGGGGCTGGCTCTGCACTGGACAGCATTGAGCCTGCTTGGAATTCTTTCTCTCCTGCTCTCTCTGCCCCTCTCCTGCTCTCTCTCTCTCTCTCCCTCTCAAATAATAAACATTTTTTGAAAAAAAGAAAAGTCCAACAATTGGAGCATAGACCAGGAAGTCTACAGCACAGAGCCGGAGCTCTCAGCCTAGTGAAGGGTCGAAGGTGGTGAGTGGGATGTACAGTAAGTGAGGACTAGTTTGGGAAGACATCCTGGAGATGAAACCAAAGAATCTTAAACAGAAAGACTTCATCATGCAAAGAAAGAGGTAAGGATAGTGAAGAGTATTCCAGTTAGAAGTGCAGCACCAGCACACAGAAATGTCCAATGGCTTGGGGTGCTATTGCTAAATATGAAGTAGGAGGACTGTCAGGAGGTGGGGGGGGGGGCGTGCAGAGGCAGGCATGCAGAGCCTTGGCTTTGGCCTTTGGGTGATGTGGCCACAGTGGGTGTTGCGAGGAGTCATTCTCAGATTTTCATTTCAGAGAGATTACTGGGTGGCAGCGTGAGGTTAGATGTGAAGAGGTGAAAGAAAAAAGTGTAGCCAAAAACGTAGGCCTGCAAACAGGACAGTAGTGGGCAGTAGAAACAGGTAGTAGGAATAGTTTCAAGAAATTACTTGGAAGTCAAATTGGCAGTACTGGGTGGGTGACTGGACGGGGAAGGTGAGGGAGGAATCTAGAATAGTGTCCAAACTTCTGGCTTGGATGATGAGGTCATTGGCCGGGGTAGAATAAACAGGAAGCATCACAGGTGGGCAGTGGCGGGGAGAGTGGGAAGATCTCCAGTTCAGTTATGGTGAAGTGTACTTTAAGGTACCTGTGGGACTTGAAAGATCAGATGTGCAACAGGTACTTGGTATTTGAGCCTGCAGCTTAAGGCAAAGGCTGAGGAGGGAGTGGCATGGAGGGGGCGAACTGTGAGCTTAAGAGTTGGCTGTGGGGTACGCTGCGAGGGACCACCGTTGGCAGGGTGGCCCTGCTGACATTCTTTGCCTTCCTACCTCCCTTGGTACTTCTCATCTCCTCTCCCTCCTCCCCTAAAATGTGGTGTTCTCAGGGGATTGCACCACCTGGGTCCCCTACTATGCATCCATCAAGGCTTTATCTCCAGCCCAGAATTCTTAGGTACAATTAAGACCCATGTCTCCAACCACTTTCTAAGAGAAAAGAGGTAGTTGGCAGTGTGGACCGATTGCCCAAAGCACCACACAAAGGCTTTGTGCTCTCTGTTCTGTTTAGTTGTGCTCAAGATTGGCACTGTGAATTGGAACTGGCTGTGACTATCTCTTGTTTCTCTGAAAAATCAAATTTGGATGTCAGGGGTCAGAGTTCAGATCTGTTAATATGCATTCATATGTAGAGTACCTCCCCACCCTACCTTAATCCTGTACATGCCTTTCTTAACTTCCCTCTTACACCTATTTTTTTCTTTTCATCAGGAATTGAAATCTAACCAAAATAGAATAAATTTAAATATTTGTGATATAGAGGCACCCCGCTGGCTCAGTCAGTAGAGCATGGGACTCTTGATCTTGGGGTTGTGATTTTGAGCCCTATATTGAGTGTAGAGATTACTTAAAAAATAAAATCTTTAAATATTTCTGACATAGAATAAAAATAACTGCTCAGATCGTAAAAGAGGAAAAACCGTTTACATGGATCCACTTCTATAAAACAAAAATCACAACTCTTATTTTTGAGAAAGAGTCCTTTTTACTCTGTAATACCTTGTTTCATGATCACTGTTTCAATGATGAAGGGACTCTGAACTCATAAGCAAACCATGCCATGATTGAAGCTTTTTATGTAGAGAAGCTGGTTAGAACACAAAACCAGTATTTTGATAAATTCACTTTAAAATGTTTTTCATACCCACTTAAAACTAATTACAACAATATGATCTTCTACTCCCAAGGACTTGGACTGGATTAGGAACATTGAAAACAAACACACAGAACCACTGGGTCTGGCTGTGTGATCTACAGATATGCTTCCTGAGTGTGTGTGAGGTCAATCTGTTGACCATCAATTGTGCCAGAGTTCACCAGCAGCTACAGTGTTGTTCTTTAGTATGTTTCCATTGTGAACTTATTTCTTTAAGTCTTTGGGATGATTTCTGCAAGATGAGTCTTTAGCATCTTGAAATTTTTCAGAGAAGAGATTAAGAAAGTCTCAATTATTCCAGAAGCCACTGGTATAAAAATCATGTTTATTTTATCAGATCGACTGCTCAAAAGCTATAAGGTACACGGTTCTCACTCGGGTAAGCTGCATTAAGTGGCCCTCAGCCCAGGGCACTTTATCCCCACACACTCAAGGGAGTCGGCTTGAATGTCAGGAAACACTGAGTTGCATAACAACAAAGGAGGGCTCAGGAAAACTGGGATTCACCTGACTGGTACACACACCCTCGTAGATAGACCCACACAGACAGATGCGTAAGAACAGAATCATTTCTGTTCCTCACAAAGTACTCACAACTTCAACAAGAAAAGTCACAGGTTTATATAAATGCCCATTTTCATATCAGTTTATGAATTCAGAAGTTCTTTCAAAAAGAATAGGAGATACTGCTTTTACCAATCAGTTTGGGATGAGAATACTTCTGACACCATAGGAATAATAATGGTGTTCTCCCTAGGTTTAAATTCCTCTTATCCATTTATGACATTTTTCTCCATCATGTACTAAATTCTACCCATCCTCACAGTAACTTACTATTATTACCAACATACTTTTAAACTAGGTGTATACATACATATACATGTACATACATATCTACTAAATTGAACCTTATGAAACTGTTAATACTTGACCTTTTCTGACCTATGAAAACAGCTTTTTTTCACATGGTTGTACCTAATAAAATATGAGCTTTAGTTGGAGGACTATATCTCCATATATATGTGTATAAACTATCTCTCCCTCTCGCTCTCTCTGCACACACACACACACACACACACACACACACACACACACAGTGCAGTACTTTCTGTTTACTTCAACAGGAAGAATGAAAATGCTTCCTCTATTCACCAGTTCTAACACAGCCTTGCAAAACTGTACTTGGTGACTACTGGTAATTTTTAATGAAAATATTTAGAGGTGTAGTAATTTCCACAAATTTTGTATTTGACCAAATAAAGTCTGCTCCAAACTGGGCTTATGGTCTTTGAAAGTACATCACCCAACTACTTAACTGGAGTAGTCTACCCTGGAAGATGGCTTTTGCAGGCTTATGGTCAGGTCTAGAATCAGCAGGCCAAATAATAAAATACCAAAGCATTTTCAATTCTTCCTCTGTGTCCTCAGTAACATTTCACATAGTGCCTACCATGAGACGCTATGCTAAGCACCAGTAAAACAGATATGCCCCAGACCTCGCTTTCAAGAAACTTAACATCTTTCAAGAAATATAAAAATATAAATAATGAGAGAATATTCTAAGGTTTTAAGTTTCAAACTGGGATAGAGTAAAACGTAAAAAGAAGATAGCACTTGAGAAGTTTTAAACTGCCTTCAAACACCAAGTGGCAAGAAGCCAAATACAAATGTGTACTAAGTTCAATGTCAGTCCATATGATAATCACAGGTGTCCTCCTCCATGGTTCTGGACCCAACAAGTCCTTCATCACCCCCAGAAACAGGGACTAGAGATCCTCTAGGTCAGTTAAATCCACGGCCACTTTCAGGAACACGGTGTCATCTTTAATGTAGGTGTTCTTGGCGCTCTCCAAAGTGGAATGAGCCACGAAGCGGGGGCAGCCAGACGCAATGTTCATCTCTCCATCAGGTCTTTTAAAGCTACTGCTATTGGGGTCAGCCTTGAAGGTCTCCATAATGTGGTTCTTTTTGCCACTCTGGTCCAAAAGCATCAGGGTCACCCTCTGCCTGAATGGCCACTGCAACAGTGAGTCAAACTCCCCTCGCATCACCACGAAGTACAGCGACAGGTGTGTCCCCTTCCCGGACCCATCCCCGTTTAGGTATGCTCTAGCACAGAGCCGGTAGCCGCACCGGCTGGTGTAGAAGGGCTGGCTGAAGATGGACACCGTGTGCCCATCGAGTGCCTCCCTCTTCTTCGTCTTATAGTCTGTCACCTTCCAGATGAGCTTTCCGTTATAGCAGGCACCTTCTAGCAGTTTAAATCGCTCTTCGTTTTTATTCAGCTGTGCTTTATGAATATTAATGTGGGCATCATGTTTGTTAGTCTCCCCTTCCAAAACAACTGCAAAGAAAGAAAGACAAAAAAAGATTCCATAGGCCTTAAAGTTGTCTTTAGAATTTGCCCAAAGTGGAATTGTGCTATCTGAAGAGAAAAATAAAATTCTGACATCCTAAAGATGAACTGAATTCAATGTCCACCAATGGATCATTTATATGAATAATTAACTCAGTGACTCTCATGTCTTGATAAAAGTAGCACCAAGGAAACCCAAATACATACTCTTGAACTGAAGCTCACCAAAGCATATAGAAGACACACAGCATTTGACTCGTGTGCATTAGCATGGTGAGGCCCATTATTTAATAACTGGGATGCTTTTAAATAGCCAAACCCTTTCAGATTTTCCTGTACTTCAAACAATGTTTCTACCACATCTCTCCCTTAGTTTTTTCATTATTTTCCACTCTTCTTAAAAACCACCACTCCCTGTGTTTGGAATTTCCTGGCCCATTTCTACCCTTTGCCTGTTCCAGTCCCTGCTCATCGCCGTCCATCATTTTCCCCCAAGTGGCCAGAATCTTGTGCTGTTCTGTTTCACAAATACCAGATTCGACCATTGTTTATCCTGGACAGCTGCGACTCTCCATCTGGCCTGGTGTTTGCTTGTTCCAGAAACATATGCAGACAACAGAGTCATCCAAAGGGAAGTAAAATACGTGCCATACCTAGTCTTTGATCATTGGTTTCTAGCAGAGTAATTTTCTGCTTCACTGTATCAATCGCTTCCACCAAAGGCCTCAGATCAAATTTATTTTGTTGCTGGTTAGCCACTTGTAATAACTGACGCACTTGAGCTTCTAGCCAAGCGGACTTGTCAATGAGACTGGCAAGAGCCTTTCAGTACAACATGGATCATAATGTAAAAAAGAAAAAAAAGTTAATATCTTAGTAATTCATTGATATTGAATTTTTTCAACCCAAACATTTCATATTTAATTAATCAATTAATGCAATGAAAAATGCACAGTCTGGAAGAGAAAATTCAGTGAGGTTCACAGAGAGATGAACTACCTAGTATCTTCCTCCTCCTTCCAGTCGCAGCTCCTGTTCCAAATTTTTGAACTTCTCTTCATCTGACTTCTACTCCTCCCTCAATTTCTATCCATTTGGTGCTCTAACCTATCTTTATATCTTTGTTCTCCTGTTGTCTCTCCTCTTGCCTTAATCACTTCCTTCTCAGAGGCTATTCTGATCCATGCCTGCTCTGTTAGAAGGCAGAGAATGAGCTGGAAATAGACCCATTCGTTCTGGCCTGAGCCCTACAAGTGGTTCAGAAGTGCAATGAGGTAAGGCTTGAACTTTAGATTCTCTGCCTGGGTAGAAGAGAGTAAATAAAACTAGACCCATACTTCTCTTCCACACTTGCCCCTCAGGACCTTAACTCTGACTGGTTTTGTGTTAGAAAAAGGTCAGAATTGAGATAATAACAAATAAAGATTTCCTTTTTTTCTACACACACACACACACACACACACACACACACACACACACACAGTGTGCTGACAAAGTATGGGGAAATTACATGGCCTGCATTTTTCTGGGATAGTCCACATTTCAAAACTGCTACCCATACCACAGGTCTTAAAATCCTTTTCACCACAGGGGCGCCCAAGTGGCTTAGTCAGCTGAGCGTCCAACTTCGGCTCAGGTCATGATCTCGAGGTGCGTGAAATCAAAGCACATCCCCCCTCCCCCCATCAGGCTGACATGATGACAGTGCAGAGCCTGCTTGGGATTCTCTCTCTCTCTCTCTCTCTCTCTCTCTCTCTCTCTCTCTCATTCTCTCTGCCCTTGCCCCACTCATACTGTCCTTCTCTCTCAAAAATAAACATTAAAATTTTTTTTTACCATAAATTTTATAACTACAGTAAAGATACTATTCATTAGAAATTTGTTTATGGTTACTTAACATTCATGATTTGCAAGTAATTTTTGATATATTTTAGTGTTTAAAGCATTTTATTCCCAGGGCACCTGGGTGGCCCAGTGGGTTAAGAGTCCGACTTTGGCTCAGGTCATGATCTCACAGCTCATGAGTTTGAGCCTTGCATCAGGTTCTGTGCTGACAGCTCACAGCCTGGAGCCTGCTTCAGATTCTGTGTCTCCCTCTCTCTCTGCTCCTCCCCTGCTCATGCTGTTGCTCTCTCAAAAATAAACATTAAAAAAAATTTTTTTAAATAAATAAAGCATTTTATTCCCAAGGGAATTAATATTTCACTTTGTTGACTATGGATACGCTCAATGAATCTTACATAAAGGAACTAATATTGGCCCAACATCAATTATAACCCTAATTGCCATAAATTATATAAAGTATTATGTCAATTCTGTTAATACCTTATATTATTATAATTAAATATAACATAAATACATATAATATTATAATTACATAATTATATTAGTTAACTTACTGACATTGTTAAATGTACTGGGGTTATGTAAAAGAAGATCTTTATTCTTATGAAATACATAGTGAAGTGTGTACAGGTACAGGGCCATAATATATACAGCTTACTCTCAAATGCTTCAGAAAGTACATACACATACAGCAACAGAGATGTAGAGAGATATGGGACAAAATACTAACAATGGGTGAATTTGGGCGGAGAATGCACAGATTTTTTTTTCTTTTTTTTTTTGAGAGAGAGACAGAGAGAGAGAGAGAGCATGTGCACAAGCAGGGGAGGGGCAGAGGATCCAAAGCAGGCTCCATGCTGACAGCAGAGAACCCAATATGGGGCTCAAACTCACCAACTATGAGATCATGACCTGAGCCGAAGTCTGACACTTAACTGACTGAGCCACCCAGGCACCCCAAGAATACATGGGTATTTTTAAGCACTATCTTATTCTTACAGCTTTTCTTTACATTTGAAATTATCTCCACTTAAGAAGTTATAAGAAAAACCCTGACTGCCAATTGAAGGCCAAATCTTGGCTATGAATAGAGAGGCCATTTCTCACCTGGATGTTTGAGAGGAAGCTTCCATTTTTGCCGAGTAGCTGTGCAAACTGCTTGAACTCCTTTTCGAATTTCTTTACTGTTTCTGCTAACTGCTGGATTTTACTTTCTTTCTGTTCTAGGCTCTTATATAAATCAGAAATCTAATAACAGAAATGGGAACGAGATCATTTAAGTGTATGTATACAAGTTAAAATAATTTAAATACAAGTCTAGAAAAATATTGCAGTAAGAAAGTGTTTCTAGAAAAATAAATATACATGTAAGTAATGAGTCACTAAATTCTACTCCTGAAAGCATTACTACACTATATGTTAACTAACTTGAATTTAAATAAATTTCAATAAATAACTAAATTAAATTTAAAAAAAAGAAAAATACATACATGTATTTCTAGGAAAATATTTACAGGTAGATTTCTATATAATATTTGTAGGTGCTTCAAAAAAACCAGGTCCACAGATTTCTCATCAGTCTTTTTCATAGCTTAACCAGCTATGATGGTTCATCTAATGATAGTGACATCACTTGACAAAATTTACTGAACTAGTTCTCTTCATTCATTCAGTATGCACTTATTAAACAACCACACAGTACTGATCATCACAGCACAGCAGATGCTATCTGCACAGTATCAATAGTAATAGCTGACATTTGCTGAATGTCTGTCATACCCTTGTATTCATTAGCTCTCTTAATTCTCAAAAAACCCTATGAGTTGGGTATGATGATCAGTTCCGTTTTATAGATAAGGAAACAGAGGTAGAGAGTTTAAGTGACCTGCCCAGCAGACAGCTAGCTTAGCAAGTGGTAGGCAAAACATGATATGCTCTTAGAATCTGTAATTATTTCAGGGAAATAACCAAAAGCTTTCGTGTGAGCCTAGACAACCCTCCTCCTATCGCCTCATCCATTCAATCAGCAATACTTACCAACTTTAAACTCCCGACACACAACAAAACCAACGATTCTTATATCTACTTCTCATTTCATCTCATTTCGTTTCACACTCACTGTAGCCTTATTTCTCACCTGGGCTGCTACAATAGCTTCCCACCTGGTCCTACACCATCCCTCGCACTCCCGCCAGATGGGAAGCTCTATGGGAATTGGGACGCATGTCCCACAGTCTGCTGTAACCTTGGCAACTGGTCTGGTGCCTGGCATCAGCAGGTATTTGATAAATATTTTTAGTATGAACGAATGATGCTCTCCCTTTCTTTACACTTGTTTTTCTCCAATTCATCCTTCATGCTGTAACCAGAGACAAATTGGTCTTGTCACTCCCCCCACCCCCCCGACCTTAACCATCCTTAGTGGCCTTCTTTTACAGACCCTACAGGGTCCTACATGATCTGCTCCTGGCTACTTTCTCAGCCTGCTGCCTATTCCCATCCCACCTGTGCCCTGCCCTGCAAGCCTACACACTTCTATTGTCCATCGAGTCCTGGTCTCTCACACACTTCCTCCTCCATCTAGAAACTACCACTTTTTAAGCCTCTACTCAAGGACACTTTCTCTCAGAAACACTTCTTCACTAGTATCACCTACCTAGGTCATCTCTCAAGTTCTAAGACCCCCTGACTACACTCTAGCATTTAACTTACCTTCATTACTCTTATTGCTTTTTTGGGTTGTTTTGGTCTTTTCCTCCACTAAACTATTGAGGCTACATCTCCCTTATTTCTTCATCCCCAAAGCCTTGCACAGTGCCTGGCACACAGAGGGCATTGGATATGTGTTTTATAAATGAACAAATGGTTGCAACAACCATCTGCTCTCTGGCCCCAGAATCTTCCATTTAGATCCTGAGAGCTGATTTCCACCTACATGGTAGACATATCTCCCTGATAAGTGTCTTCTCCCTTCACCTTACCTCTCTTTGTCCTGCAGTGTCCATCTCAGATAATAACTCCATGTTCTCCGCCTTCTAAACTTACAGCTTGCCATTGTGACCTTGGAGTGTCTCTCAATGCCCTTCCCATCCCCAGACACAGCCTTGGCTGAGCCACCAGCACCATCACTTCCAGTATCTCGCCTTCACCTAGTACTGAACTGCTTATTACATTGCCACTGTGCTAAGAGCTTAAATATATTAGCTCATTTAACCCTTCCAACAACCCCATTTTATGAATGAGGAAACTGGGGAAGAGCGGAGTTAAGTAGCTTGTCCAAACTCATACGGCAAGTGTGGGGCCAGGTCTCAAAACCAGGCATTCTGGCTCCAGAGCCCTCACTGTTTAATTGCCAGGCTCTACTGCTACATTGCCTAGTTCATGACAACATCCTTCTGCCTGGTCCCCTGTCTTCATGCTCTCCTCTCCCTCTATCCATCTTCTGTGCTACCACCAGCTATCTTACTGTTTAAAGCCAAACAATTAGCCAGCCAAGTAGTGGTCTTCGCCTGCCCCCACCATCCAAAACTTTGCTTCACGCCACTTTGCTTTCATGAAAGACTTGCGTTAGTGCCTGTTTCACTAACCGAAAGAAATCAAAGAGGATCTTCGCTTTTATGAAATGGTAGTTGCTTCTTTGCTTTACACGACATTGGCTTATGAAAGGTTCCATAGGATTGCTCTGTTTCCCATTGTGTGGGAAACCTGTATTTTCTTATCTCGAAACCTCCATTGGCTCCCCTATTACTGACAAACATTAGTTCAAACTTTGGCCCTTAAATCCTTTCTGAAACGAAGCAGATATGAATGAATAAAAAATAATAATTGAATGTACAGTATCTGCAACCTCTTAGCTTACATGGAAGGCCACTGCAATCTGCACCCAGCACACCAGTCTCCAGCTCTTTCTGGCTCATGTTCAGGAGCCTCACCACCCCAAAACCCCAGTTCCCTGAACCATCAGCCTCTCTCATAACTCCTGGTCTTGGCACAAGCTTTCCTTTTCTGGAACGTTCTTTCCCCACAACATTTAAGTTGACAAATCTTTTCTTCCTTCAAAATGAAGCTCGGATGTGCTACCTTGAAGAGCTTTCCCCAAATCCCACAGAGCAAACTGCTGCAGCCTCTGTACCCCGGACTGAGTAACAGCATATCCTATGGCACGGCAACTTATCTATTTGCATTTTTGCGTTGTGAGTCCTTCAAGGGCAGAAGCTGTGTGTTTCTTGACTCAGAGCCCCTAGCAATGCACCTCATAGCTGATGTATGGCAGGTGTTTGTTGAATGAGTGGATGGATGGATGGATGGATGGATGGATGAGGCAAGTGGTACAGAAAGAACTTAGGAATGGTTATCAGGCAGTGTGCCCTCTACCAAAGTCACGGTCTGAGTGGTCTTCGCACTTTTCTCCAGGGTCTGACCTTGGAACTCACATACCTACTTTAATATGGAATTAGACAGCATAAACTAATTGGCAGTAATAGAATTCAGCTCCCTCTCTTCCTGACATGGGCTTGAGAAGTCTGATCCTCTGAGATGTTCTAACAAAATAATTAACTTTTATAATAATTACTCAATAGAATCAGCATTTGGAGTCCATTATGAATATTCCAGGGACTGTGGCAGGCATTTGCACACATAATTTCACTTGGTAATCACAACTCAGTGAAATACATATGTATGTATGCATTTATCAGGCTGCAAAGCTTTTCATAGGCAGGAGTTAAGACTTACTACAAAATATATAAAACCCAAAATGCCTAGAACAGATAGTTAACTATTGCTTCATGGTAAGATTGGTCTAATTAAAAAACATCAAGCACCTGCTAGTCACCTACTAGGTGCCAGATATTAACCAAAAGGCGTGTGGATAGGCTGCAGAGACAGTGTGGTATTTCTAGACTAAGAATCAGGGGACATGGGTTTGAGAGTAAATTCTACCACTTACAAGTTACAAACACATCAAAATTTCTTTGAGCTTAGTTATTTCATCTGCTGAATGAAAGGGTTGGGTCCAGAGATCTCAAAGGCACCTTCCAGTTCTAATATTCTATAATCCTATGGGTCTGCCTGGCCACTTAGTAGAAAACCATCTACCTCCAGTAGACATGTACTCAAACAGAGGAGACTATAAAAAGCCAACGATTACCAACCCCAGTGGTTGTGATGCTTCCCCTTATATCTGAATTCTTGAATATTTACCTGTTCTTCTAACTGGAAGTTCTTTTCTAAAACCAGAAGCATGTGGTCCCGTAAGGCTGAATGCTCATGCTCCAGCAGGTTCCCCCGTTTATCCTTCAATGTGAAGAGGAAAGGAAGTCAGGCTGCTGAAAAGCTCCAAACATGAAGGTGGTGGCGAGATATTCTGCTAAAGCAGACCTTAACAATTTTGCTTGCTTGTCTGAAGCTGAGTTGCAGAAGAAACAGCCCCTCCAGGTCCCTTTCCCAGCCACAGGATTCTACAGTGCCCATGAGACAATTTTAAACTTACAGAAACAAAGAATCGGGCCACTGTCAAAATTTCAATGTGGATTTCCTTCCTTGTGCTGGGAATGTGTGACCGTGGGTCAAGTGTAGTTATCCTCTGTCAACTATTCCCACACAAAACCTATCTATTTGGCGGGTTAGCTTCAGATCAGTTTCAAGCCTAGGTTAGTTCTCTCTCCTACCAAGCACACATTTTCATGCTGTCTTCTATCAAAGGCCACAGGCATGCAACCTGATTGTAAATTCAGCCCAGGCAAATTTGTTGCCCTCAAAATCAAATAACAGGTTTATAAGAATAAAGGGTTACTTCTTCCCTGATGATTAAAATACCGAATTGCAAACTGCCTATATTACTAGTAAAAGCAAATGGTAGATGTTCTGGGTGATCTGTGCACCAAAGCATACATTTATCAACAATTTTCCTTCAGTTTAGGATTGGTCCCTTTTCCAGAGAATACCTTTCCTCCTCCTTTTCTTCCTTTTCACCCTGGAAGGTCTAGACTACAACCCAACTGGGAGTTTAGGCCTAACTATTAGGAAGATTCCTTTCAGAGCTGGAAAGCAATGCCATATTTCATGCACTAAAAAGGTAAACCTTATCCTTTTTGTAGCCAAGACTGTCACTGGTTTGATATGTGAAAATCTGTGGACTCCAATGATTTTTTTTAAAGGTTCCCACAATATGCATTTTTTAAAATAGGTTCTTAAGATAAGAGAAATGTAGGGGCACCTGGGTGGCTCGGTCAGTTGGGCATTTGACTTCAGCTCAGGTCATGATCTCACAGTC